TACTCTTTTCACATCTGTCACTCGTTCTTTCATTCCACTATCTAACACAACTCCTACTCCATTTCGCTTCCCATCACTTCCACAATAATAAAACTTGTATCCCTCCCCAATCTCTCTTGCTTTATTGCCCTTCCATTTTGTTTCCTGCAAACAGGCAACATTCACTCTTCGTCGTTTCAAAACATCTGCTAACTCTCTTCCTCTTCCAGTCATCGTACCTATATTCCAGCTTGCAAACCTCACTCTGACATTCTTCTCTCTCCGGGCTCGCCTCTTACGTCGCACCCGCTCCGTAAGGTGCGACAACCCTTGCCCACTTCCCACAGGAGCCGGGTGCTGCCCCTGCGCGTCGCCTCCGGGGTACGCCCTAGCCCTGTCATATGTCCCACAACTCGTACTATTCATTTACTGCATGGGATTTGGCAAAAGTTTTACAGTCGGCCGCCTGCCTGACACCAACCCTCTTTGGGTATGCTATTGCTGGTAGAGGAAGCTACCATTTTGGGAAAAGGAAAAAGAAGTTTGGGGGTAGGAGCATAGGTGTAAGGATACTGTTATCTCGGCAGGAAAGGTATGAGAATAACAGTAGCTCGGGGAGCCGGGGTCGCGTACCCGTATTCCATACCAGGATCACCGGAAAGGTAGACCAGCATGAGAACCCCCTGACCTACAATTCGCAATATGGCAGGTTTAAAATATATGAATAGATATTAGATATTTAACTTAACTTAACTTATCTTCACGCACAATCCCTGACGGGGTAGCCAGAGAGAACAGGTCGCCAAGTGTCACGATCCTTACATACCTCTTTCGCTTCTTTCAGATTCATTATCTTCTTCATACATGCACGTCTAGGTATCCGAGTACTCTTGACCCTACCCTCTTCGAGCAATTTGCTCACATGGTCTTCGAAAGTTAGTCTCGGTCTACCTCGACACCTTTTAATATTAACTTTCGCGCTATATATTTTCTTCACCATTCGGTCTTCACTCATTCGCTCAACGTGCCCAAACCACCGAAGCACGCCCTTATCAATTTTTGTGATAAGGTCATCTTTCAAACCTGCCATATTGCGAATCTCTTCGTTTCGCTTTCGGTCGGCCATGGTAACGCCGCACATTTTACGAAGAGATCGCATCTCCACTGCATTCAACTTGCTTTTATGCTTCTTCTGGCATACCCAGGTTTCGCTGCCATATAACAAAGTCGGTATCAACACTACGTTATGTATTGCAAGGCGTGCACTCTTCACTACGCCTTGCCTTTTGACTAACGCAGTCAGGGCACCATTGACTTTGTTCCCGGCAGCGACACGCCTGTCCACATCTAAATCACATCTTCCATCCCGGCTAAAAGCACTCCCCAAGTATACAATTTCATTTACTTGTTCTAGACATTCCTGATTTACCCATATTTCACACTTCGTTCTCTCTTCGTCCCTTTCAAATACCAGAACCTTAGTTTTATTAGCGTTCAAACGGAGACCTTTAATTTCACATTCCTCTTTCATACACGTGACTAATGCCTGCAGTTCTGCCTCTGATGGTGCAATAAGCAGTGCATCATCAGCATACAGCAGACAATTTACTTTTATGTCACCCAATTTCACACCCAAACAGCTATCTTTCAGCTTTTGTAAACAGCTGTCGAGATACAGTATGAACAACCAGGAAGACATGACACAACCCTGTTTTACGCCCGTTTGGACGCTAAACATGGGTGACAGGTCATGCCCTACCCGCACACAGGCTTTACAGTCACAGTAAAGAGACTGCACAGCCCTTAGCAATCGACCATCCACACCATACTCCGGCAACAGTTCCCACATTTTCTTCCTTACAACCTTATCAAATGCTTTCTCAAGATCCACAAAAGCACAGAAAATCTTCTGGTTAGCAGCCAGTAGCTTTTCCGTGATCATGCGGAGAGAAAACATTTGATCCGTGCATCCTCTTCCAGGTCTAAATCCGCATTGTGCCTCCCATAGAAATCTTTCCGATTTCTCTTGCATCCTACGTGTCAAAACCTTCGAGTAAACTTTACTTGCTAAACTGGTCAAGCTGATCGCCCGATAGCACCCGCAGTCAAAATGTGAACCTTTACCTTTATATAAAGGCACAATGACTGCGGATCGCCAATCATCCGGGACATCCCCCGTCCGCCAGCACAAATTGCACAGCAGATGAAAGCTGTCCCAGACGCGAGGCCCACCATACTTGACCATTTCAGCAGTAACTCTGTCTAGTCCCGCAGCTTTACCACATTTCAAACTTCGAATCGCACGTTCAATCTCTTTCATACTGATGACCTCAGTGTCATCGAGGTCCGGGTCTGGCGTACCAGTCACGGCGTCATCCCCGGATCCCTCACTAAGATCATCACACGCATACATTTCTCTATAAAATTCGCTCCATCGCTGCATGACGTCCGATTTTTCTGAGAGGACGTCATTAGTTCTCGAAAGCACTTTGTTCATTCTTAAGGCCGTCGCACCACTTCGGGTCCTTCCAACCCCTTTCCAGAAGAGTTTGGAGTTCTCCTTAAAGTTGTGCGACAACCTTTCGTCCGCTTCCATTCTACACCTTTCACGCACTTCCTCAATCAATGCTTTCGTGTGAACTTTCTGCAGCCTATATCTTTCTTTCATCTTCTCTCTCATATCCTTATCATTACTAGAGGCCAAGTAGTCTAACCATGCTTTCTTATTCTTCTTTACAGCATCTTTCACTTCATCATTCCACCATGCATCTCTTCTTTTACTACTGCCTCTTTTTATTGTTCCACACACTTCTTCCGCTGCACTTACCATTCCATCCCTAAGGTTCTGCCATGTTCTTTCTACACATTCGTTTCTGCCATCGATGGTGTCAAGCTTTTCGGCTACCCTCGCATGATATTTGTCCCTAGTATCCGCTTCCTGAAGCTTTCAGCTTCGGATGCGACACACCGACTGTGGTTCTGTCACTGCCGTCCGGTAGCGCAAACCCGCGACCAGACCCCTAAATCTAGTAATCACTAGATAGTGATCCGTTCCCAGGTCAGCACCCCTGAACACTCGCGTATCCATAACCTGTTTTCGCAGTCGGTCATCCACCAGGAACAAATCGATCATACTTCTCTCATTCTTTCTTTCTCTAGTATACATATGGATCTTCTTGTGATTAAATATAGTATTAATCACAATTATTATTAATATTAGATATTTAAAATTAATAATATTAATATTATGGTCAAATTGAATCAATAACTCAACAATATTATTAATATTATGGTAAATATGGTCCAACATCCATTTGAACAAATTGCACAGACTTAGTCTCTACGTCTTTGAAAAGAGATAGAAATTTTCTACTCAAAATAGATAAGTACCTATACATAATACTGAAAGTCATTTTAAGTTTAATTGTTCTATGGTTCTAATGGTACGCAAAATACCGCTATCGTGAGAAAAACCAGCAAGAAACCTAGCGGAACTTAAGAAAAATAGTTTACATTATGTGTGATGGTATACAAATTCACAACCCAAAGTCATATCGTGGTAGTGGTAGGAGACGACAGAGGAAAACCGTAAGAAAATGCTATACGATATTATGCTATAGAAGTAAATAAAATAAATAGTCTAGCTGTTACAATGCGTTTGAGACTTCTAATATTTTTCAATGCATACGCTGCATAACTTAGTCTCCATGCTGGTTTAAATAGAGGGCCCCATTGAAGCTAGCAAGAATGATTCCAAGTAAAACTAGTTAAACTTACATGTTGAACATTCGCTGTTATATATTCATTTAGCTTTAGTGTCATTTAAAAGCAAAAAAGATTGGTGCAAAGCCGTTATAGTCCCAATATATAAGAGAAAAGGGTCACAGCAGCGGTAGCGAATCCTCCATAGAAGCGGAGAAGTCAGGTTTGCCCTATCAAACTGCTCAATTAATAATATCAAACTAATAAACTAATTTGTATTATTTATCACTTAATACATTGTATTTAATAACATTTTAAATATTTTTAATATATTTATTTAATGATATTTACCTACTTTGTATAATTAGAAACTAATTAAATGAAATATTTATTGTATATCTTAATTCATTGATAGTAGATTTTAAGTAAAGAAATAATTAAGTATTTTATCTTCAAAATATGTATGTTCTTAATATAGATATTGCCTGCCTTGTTCTCTTTCAAAGATTTGAAATTAAGGGACAAGATCAATTTTTGGTTTTGAAACAGAGGACGTCCTTTAAAACAATAGACATCTGGGAATTCTACGTAGAGCACTGCATGGTGCGATAAGTGCAGCTTAGCCTTAAAGAAATAAAACTTTCCCACAAATGTTAACAGTAGTTTTCCACTGAGCTGAAGTTAACTAGTTGATGTTAAGCAGTACCTTATACACGGGCTTAAAAGACTGCTAAATATTAAATACATAGTTGATCCCGTGTGAAGTACCGACGTACTCTTTGCCTTGTCTCAATAAATCAAACCCACGACGCAAACAGAGGGGTGTTATATGTTTAACGTATGTATCTGTTTTTGTTGTTTAGATTTAGTTTTATTTGTTTGAAAGTTGACTTGATCGAGAGTGTTTTTAGCTATGATTCAGAAAAAAATTACAGCTGTTTGAAGATCATTAGTTCTTTGTTATTCATTAGTGTTTCGGGGGATTTTAAAATTTTCTATTTAAGTTATCCTTGCTTTGTTTAGTACTTCGTTAAATGTTTGTTTACATATTATATAATTCGTGATTGTTATTTGAATTGTCATTTGGTAGTAATTATGACATTAAGTGTATTCGATAAATTATAATAAGTTGTTTGGAGGACAATAATTTTAATTAGCCTAAGTAATCAGATAATGATGTATTCTTATGAACACATGCAAAGCGTTTTGTAAACGCATAACATGTTTCGTTTCGGTTTTATTAGAGCTCGCAACCGGAGTGACAATCATTCTGCATTCTGCGCTAGATCTTTAGGTAGTGTTGTACGTTCGGTCCAGACATGTCAGAGAGAAAGGAAAAGGTTGGAATCGTAGGCAGGTAAGTAGCAAATTCTGCAAAGTATTTGTTTTATTAAAAAGTTTTATAAGCTTTAAGTGAAAGTGAAAACTGCTTTGTGTAATTGAATTCGAAAATAACTTCTTAGAATACAACTTTTCGTAGTCCTTGTGTTTTTGTCATATAACTTGTGGCTTGACAATCGAATAATCGAATTATTTAAAAAAAACATTTGTGAATAATAAATGAAGAATATAAATAAAATAATTTGCTAATTGAAAGGAAAAATCTGTGGAATATTTTGTGTATGTCGTGTCTATTAAGTGTTTGTAATATCAATTACATAAAGATTGCAAGTTGATGCAACAGATATATTAGCTGAATGAGGCTAGACTGACTAGAATAATAATAAAAACTGTTAACTTAGTTTATACTTAGTTTAATATTTAAACGTAACATAAACGAAATAATTACAATATGATAATTCATAATTTATGAATTAATACAATATCTGAATTGTTAGTGATTCCGTAAAAAAACATACATAGTCTATCCCACTATGTATACTATATCTAGATCATCTACTAGCTAGTCTGTAAGTCTGGAACATTTGATGTCCTAGTCGCCGCCGGTTAGGGTACGACTGGTATGACGATGACACACATTAATGTGCTTATGACACATTGACATGGTTTCTCCTACATATTACATAACTTTATCAAGTAATTATTACTTTATGTCGATACATAAGATTTTGAAATTTTTATGTTATTAAAATCGAAACAGAGATATTTTTCTATATAATTCAGTTGCAGTTTTATGTGCTTGTTACTTAAATAATTTCATACATATAGTTACCGATTTTATAAATCTAATTTCATAGATATAGTTACCAATTTTATAAATCATAACGACCGCGACGTACGTCCATTTATTGTCTTGTAAAATTATCAAGGGTGAAGAAAGGTTACATTACTATTGATAATATATCTGTATATGAAACGAAATCGTGACTGAAACTTAGTGGTCAAGGTCATTGACATGTAGTTACTTTATTGGTTTGTATTTCAACATTATCTATTTAACGATAGCCTATACAAATAAAAGAAAGTTGAAACTGATAAATTTATATTATAGGTAATAAATCTGTAGAGAAGTCCTTTCTTCTAATAGACCTTTTTAAATGGTGCTTTAAGATAATTCTTCCACAAGATATTCTCAATTTTTTTTATTATAGTACGTGAGGGTAATAATGTCATCTGGTTAATATGGTCACTTTCTTATAACTCAAAAACTACAGCCTTCTTTGCATGGATAGCTCTGTGATACGATAGTTCTTAATCAGTCAATCAAATTATAAAATGCCAAAGGGCGCTGTTTAATCGACGCCATTTTGACAGTTCACAAAATAAATAATTTTGTCGATTTTAGTACTGTGTAGTTAGTTTTTTTAAGTTCATTTTTCGAAGTGTTCCTAATTATCACCAAAGCTTGTTTGCTATTTTCTTTTGTTAATATATTAGTTATAGTATACGACTTTGTATCTTTGTCTCTGCTCTCCTCCTGGTTTTGGTTTTATAGGGTGACAAAGCCTAAGGTGGCCGTATTACCCTCAAGTACCTTATTACTTATTTAGTGACAAAGTACAATAACAATACATATTTTTAAAATATCTCTCATAATATATATGAGAGATATTTTAAAAATATGTCTTACAAATTATTATGTTATGTTTTTTTTTTAATTATAAGCTAGTGCTTGCCTACTATCTTACACCACAGATTAGCTAGTAGTTACCTACTCTATCCCACCTCATGGTAATTGATGATGCAGCCGAACATGGCAAAGCGTACTGACTGTGCAAATTAGACTTTGAAGACACCCATATTGTAATCGTATGGCAAAATGATGATTGCCCTCGTACTTCAAATTCACAGGAAGCGCTTAGCCTCCGAGTAATCACGATTATCAAAAAATAATAATTCATTACATAATTTCTTGAATTTTGCACAGTTTTCCATTTTTTTTCCAAAACTAATATCTTCTTATTAAGAAAGTAGCCTATAATTATTAGTCTGAGGTTTAAACTAGAGCCTGTTTCAATAAAGAACTCCCGTGGACATTACAAATTTAAATTTCACAAAGACTGGTGCAGTGGCTAAGGAAATTCTTTAACACCATCGATAAACTAAGTTTTGTGATAGGACGGATAATCTCAAAAGTCATTAAGCCGCGATCTAAAACTAGTATTGAATGCAAGTCCAGAACATTTAGACATCATACAAGCTTTCATTGGCTTTTTTGTTTGTTAATCTTTGTTAACGTAAATTTGTGTTTAGTTCTAGTGATTATATATTTCGGTTTTGAAAAGATTCTAGATGAAATTGAGTATTATTTTACGCTTAATAAAATTTAAATTTTGTGCAATCATACTTTCTTTAATAAAAATTGCCAACGAAATTTTGTTTCCTGAACCTGTCCCTACCTACATCAAATCTGCTCATTTAAGGGGCGAGATGGTTTATAATTATATATTTTTAATACTTTTTAATGCTTTTTGTATATTCCATTACAAATAATAATCTTTGTTTAATGGTTTTTTATTTACAGCTAATAAAACCATTTTTTATACTTTTGTTTTTAACCTTTCACTCGCTTTTAAATTAAGAATATGCATAGTAATGTTCTGGTTTTAGGTATTTATAATATTCTATAATAACAAATTATAATGTAATCGTACCTACGAAGTGAAAGAACAATAAGTGTTTTATAGTTCGTTATTACAGAAAACATTGTACGATAAGACAAATTTAATTCAAATTCCAGCGGGCTTATTGGACGATCATGGGCCATGCTGTTCGCGTCGGTGGGGTACCAAGTAACAATTTATGATATTGTACCGCAACAAGTCACTGACGCTCTTGAAGATATTAAGGTCCAACTTAAAACCTTAGAGAAGGATGGTCTTCTACGTGGAACACTGAACGCTGATCAGCAGTTTAAATGTATTAAAGGTTTGTTTTACATTTGTAATGCTTTGTTCTTATATTTTAAGAAAACTAACAGTAGTTTAATCGAGAAAAAGTAGAATAAATAAAGTTTACACAAACATGATCTAGCTCTAGAAAGCGAACCTATGCGTTCGGCTCTTGGGTGTTACAAAATATTATGTATTTTTCAATTAATTTGTTAAGTTTGAGGTCCCGATGTCGAACCGAAACATCGGGAATTAAAAAGTTAAATTAAACGCGATAGAATCCGTAAAAATTTGTTTCATTTAATGGGTAGTCTTTTTTTTATTGAATAAGGGTGACAAACGAGCACACAGTCCACCTGATAGTAAGTGGTTGCTGTGACCCATAGACATCTACATCTATCTTCGTTTGCGAATTAAAATGCAGATGCGTTGTCAGCCGTGAGGACTAAGATGAAATGCCTCTTTTCCAGTAAAAAGGGTCTCCGGTTCTCTACACTCACCATACGAAACACAGTAGCATTAAGTTACTATTTTACACTGGTATTCTGTGAGAGTGTGGTCCTTCCCCGGTCGAGCCGACCCATTCGTGCCACAACTATACTATTAATTTAGCTGCAGCATGGCTCTACCACGTACAAAACGTACCTTTAGTCTTCGCGTAAATATAAAAAATCATTAAGTCCATTAGTGCACAGATCATGCGGATGTCTATTTGGGATCTCATCTATTTACTGCCGCGTACTTAATTGCCAATCTCGTTAAATTACCGAATGGCGTCCAAATAGAGGAGCTTGACTACGAGTAGGTACTCAAAGCTAACTTGCTTTAACATAGCAATATCTAACCCTTTTTAAGGTTCCGTACCCAAAGGGTAACCAACGAGGCCCTATTACTTATCCTCCGCTGTCCGTCCGTCTGTCTGTCGGCGGGCTGTAACTAATGATCCGTAGTAGGTAGACGGTTGAAATTTTCACAGAATGTGTATTTCGTTGCCGCTATAACAACAAATAATAAAAACTAAAATAAATTAAAAATTAAAAAGGGGAGCCCCCTTTTAATTACCTACTAGAAACGTGTATTACGATGGTACGGAACCCTTCATGCGCGAGTCCGACTCGCACTTGGCCGGTTATTAAACACCAAGTTTTAAGGCGTTCATAATATACAATAATGACTACCTATTGATTTTAAGTTCTAACATAAATATACTGATAACATTACTTCACAATAATTGAATACGTCTAAGGAGAGTTTCTTATCGTAAATTTCCGTTGGTTAACTGCATTAAGGAGAGAACAGTATGTAGGTGCAGCGATAACAGTTATGTAATAGCAAACAACCAACACACGATAAACTATATCTGTAAATAAAATTATAACAATAAAATCAAATAATAAAATTTATAAGAACACAGACAATGATAGACACTGGTATTTGAAAATGCGTTGAGCATTTTTTTTTATAGGATCGGGTGACAAACGAGCACACAGTCCACCTGATGGTAAGTGGTTACTGTGACCCATAGACATCTAAATCTATCCTCAATAAAGTCTCAAGATGCAGATGCGTTGTCATCCGTGAGGACTAAGATGGAATGCCTCTTTGCCAGTAAAAAGGGTCTCCGGTTCTCTACACTCACCATACGAAACACAGCAGCGTTAAGCTGCTATTTTAAGCTGGTTTTCTGTGAGAGCGTGGTCCTTCCCCGGTCGAGCCGACCCATTCGTGCTACAACCATAATATAGCTGCAGCATGGCTCTACCACGTAGAAGAGCATAACTTAAACAGTACTTACTGTGATTTTAGTTTATTTCTCGGACATGCAGGATTCCTTACGATGTTTTCCTTCGCTTGCTTCCTCCATTGCAATTAAAACTTTCATCGGTGCTAACGTTTCTCAGCTCTACACCTTTTTATATTATAACTTCGTTTATTTTGTATCTGAATGATAAGTCCTATATCACCCCGTGGGTGTCGTAAGAGGCAACAATGGGTAAATGAAACAGGATATCAGCTGCATCATCATTCTGATAAGAACGCAATAACAATAAAAAAGTGCGCTTGCCAACCCGCCTGCCAAGCGAGGCTACTATGTTCAACAGTGGACTTTTGAATAGCTGTAATAAATGAAACATAATAAACTCACGTTAGTAAAACTAGGAGATGGATTAAATATTATAAAAAGGAACAATATAGGCTAAATATATTATTTTTCGTTTTTATGTAACGTATACTGAAACCCAATTATATTTACCATTTCCAGGATCTTCAGACTTAGCGTCTGCCGTGAAAGATGCTATATTCGTTCAAGAATGTGTTCCTGAGAATTTAGACCTGAAAAAGAAAGTGTTCAAAGAATTGGATAACGTAGTAGATGATAAAACGATACTTTCCAGCTCAACTAGCACTACTTTGCCGTCATTGTTTTCTGAAGGCTTAAAACATAAAGCACAGGTAATTCACAGAAACTGTTTTACCTAACTATTATCAGATTCTGCCGCCAAGCATTTGCGATTTAACTGTTGATAACCAGTTTGATAACCAGCTATTAAGCTGTATTTCATCTCAGTCTTCAGAGGAGACCACGTACGTTTGTAACTTTTTTCTTCGAAGTAGGTTGCAGGTTTAGAATGTGGCTTAGCATGGAGTTGAGGCACTGAGGGCAGCGGGTACGAAACGTGCACGGAGCATGTACGTGCATGTATTTGTATGAACTATAAATAATTTTGTTGAATATGGATGTATGTCTTGCAATTTATGTATGTATATTTGTTGGCTCCACGATACATGAGAAAATTCTAGTGTAGGGGTAATTTTTCTCGAAATAAATATAAAAAGAAAAATTTAGACTATAGTAGAAATGTTTAATAAGGGAATTTTAAATTCAAATGCACTTTTAACGAAAGTGTTTTGATGATGATAAAGAAAGATAATCAATAATTTGCGTTTCTGCATAAATCTCTAGTCTAGACCAGACCACAGAACAGAATAGAACCAGACCACACAGACCAGCAACATAGTGGCAAAGACCACGCGTTGAATATGTAAGATGAAATGAATAATTATATGTATTATAAAAGCACTTTTTGTTCAGGTATTAAAATCTTCAATCATCTGCCACCTGATATAAAAGCTATGGACTTGCCAAGATTTAAATTACACCTCAAGAAGTGGTTAACATATAATGTGTTTTATAATTTAAATGAATATTTTAATACCAAACATTAATTTAACTATATAAAGTTTTTATTTCTTAATTATTGCATGCCCATATGGATAAACTGTGTAACATTTAATTGCAATGTCAACCGCAAATTGTACATGCACAGCTTATTGGCAATTAATATTCCGATTCTGATTCTGATTCTTATACGGCCTCATAAGGTCAAAATAACAGCTTTTACTAAATACATATGGAAGTACTTACGGTACTTATAATAAAAAAAATCTAAATTTTTTTTGTCTGTCTGTCTGTTTGTTCCGACTAATCTCCGAAATGGCTGGACGAATTTTGACGGAAATTTCAGTGGCAGATGTTATAAGGAGTAACTTAGGCTACTTTTATTTTAGAAAAACAGGGTTCCGCGCAAAAAAATCAAAACCCATGAAATCCAACTGTAATACGCGCGGAACAGCTAGTTTTATAATAAGCAAAAAAAAAATAGGTTGAAAAATGCTGGCGTATTATTTCTTTAGCACCTGTCCTCACTTTATCGTTATCAATAAACGCTTTAGGTTTTAAGGCTTTATACGACTGCAAATAAATTAAGACCCTAAACAAATTATACCATTAAGACAACAAATAAATATTAAATTTCAGGTGATTGTATCTCATCCAGTTAACCCGCCTTATTATGTGCCATTAGTTGAAATAGTCCCCGCACCTTGGACGAAACCCGAAGTAGCGAAGAAAACAAGAGAAATCATGCTGGAGATTGGTCAAGAACCAGTGTCGCTATCTAGGGAGGTCGATGGTTTTGTGCTCAATCGCATCCAGTGAGTATTTACAATAAATATTAATTTTCAGCCGACTTTAAAAATGAGGAAGTTTTACAAATCGACTGTATGTTTGTTACGTTGTTGTGTTGTAAAGAGGAATTCTATATGATGAAGTCTTTCTTCAAGAAGCGGCCCCACAGAAAGTAGACCTGGTCGAGCCTCGACGGTTCGACAAAAAAAATCAGATTGAATTCATTATAACGACCAGACGACAACTGTTCAGTGATGTCACAGTGATCGCGAGGGTGAAAACTGGCAGCGATCACCGACTTCTAATGAAGTCAACGCTCCGTCCCCCTCGTGCTGTAATCCAAAGCCCCTTCTTGTTTCACTTTCAGCTCGAGTTACAAAATCGTTTTCAGACTGCAATGTAGTGGACGATATGAATGACAAGCTTGTGGAAACTGTCCATGCGGTCGGATCTAAGTTCTATAAGACCCGTCACAGAAGAATACAAAAACTCTCCGATCATACTTTTAATCTCATGGCTGTTAGACGGGAAATGAAGCTGCAGTTTTCAGCAGATTTGGCAGCATACAGGCAACTTAACAGACAGATCTCCAAGTGCATGCGGCTGGACTTACGCAACTTTAATATAGCTCGTATTGAAGAAGCGACCGAGCGGTACCAGGGCTCCAAAGTTTTTGCCAAAGATCTGTCTGCCAGAAAGAGCCAACTGTCGAAGCTGAAAACGAATGTGGCAGCATAGTTTCCGGGACACTTGAGATTTTGAGTGAGATTGAGGGAGCCACACGAAAGTGTGAGTAACGATCCAAGAGCAAGTCTTATCCGACACTATTCCGATGATATCCCAGACATGAGTCTGAGCGAGATTAGAATGGCTCTCAAGCACCTTAAAAATGGCAAGTCCCTTGGCGAGGATGGAATTACAGCGAAGCTTCTGAAAGCGGGTGGAAAACCGGTCCTTGAAGTCCTTCAGAGGCTATTTAATTCCGTCCTCCATGGTGGCAATACTCCGTAGGCGTAGAGCAGAAGTGCGGTGGTCTTGTTCTTCAAGAAAGGCGACAACGCTCTCTTGAAGAACTACAAACCCATTTACCTTCTGAGCTACGTGCTGTTTTCGAGAGTCATTACGAATCATCTCGCACGCAGACTCGCAGACTTCCAGCCTCCCGAATAAGCCGGTTTCCGAAAAGTCTTTAGCACACACTTTAGCCCGAGGAGTACAATTTACCACTTTGGTGAGGGCTATGCTCGGGGTTTCTCTGCGTGATAGACTTAAAAAGGAGGATATCCGCAGTAGAAACAGAGTAACCGACATAGCCGAACGGATTAGTAAGCTGAAGTGAAAATGGGCCTGCCATATAGCTCGAAGAACCGACAGCCAATGGGGAAGAAAGACTATCGAGTAGCAGCCTCGTACCGGCAGGTGAAGTTTAGGGCGTTCCCCCATTAGATGGAGTGACAACCTGTTAAGACATGCAGGAAGTCAATAGATGCAGGTGGCTTGGGACCTAGGCCTATGTTTAGCAGTGGATTTGTGAAGGGCTGTAATGATGATGATCACGATGAATCTTAATAGCGGAGGCAGTTTGGCTAGTCCATTTAAATTAAGATCTTATACTATATTATAGTTAGAGTATTATTTCTATCACTTTAAGTCAAAGTGATTGTGTTGACACCATGAGACATAAAAACATTTTAAAATTGAGTAGCATTTGAGTGTTTGGCCATGAGAGTTAAATATTATAATTAATCGATTGACGACGCCATGCGCCCGCGTCCCCCGGGATTTACGATTGAAGAGCGCGAAGGTATTGCGGCTTTTGCGAGTCTGCTATTTGCCCCCTGGTGCAGCGGGAACCGCAAACAACCGCAAGCGGCGCGACCATAAATCACGTCATGAAATTTACTATATAGTCATATTCAATTCATTTCTTATATTATATTCTATTCGTGTCGCGGTCCCGCTACCGCTGCGGTTGCGAGTAAATATAGCGCCATGAAATCCTACGTCATTTGTAAAACCGTTTTATAAATATTTTATAATAAAATTATATGTTTGATATTAATTTACCAATAATTATAAAATTGATAATTTTAAATTTTTCAGATATGCAATCTTAAATGAAGTTTGGCGTTTAGTTGAAGGCGGAGTGGTAGATGTGCAAGACGTTGATAAAGTTATATCAGAGGGTCTCGGTATGCGATACGCATTTCTTGGTTCCCTTGAGACAGCTCACCTAAACGCTGAAGGAATGAAAAGTTATATTGAAAGGTAGTTCTAATTTTAAATTCTTATTATAGTTTTAGTTCATTCACTGCATATTTTTTTTAATATAAGTTAAAGTTTAATTGAATATGGTATTTTCATTGTACTAATAGTAGTAGTATGGGTGACAAACGAGCACACAGTCCACCTAATGGCGAGTGGATGCTGTGGTCCATAGACGCCTACATCTATTCTCGACTAAGAATCAAAATGTATATGCGTTGTCGCTCCCTGAGGACTATACGGCTCTATTTCACTTTTCACCATACGAAACACAGCAGCAAGCTGCTATTTTACTCTGGTATTTTATGAGTGCATGGTCCTTCCCATGATGATGATGATGACGATGATGGTCCAACCCCGGTCGAGCCAACCGATAATATAGCTGAAGTGATGTTCTACCACGTCTTGAAATATACAGAATTTGGTTTGTCTTTCTATCCGTAATTTACTTTAATTTTGTGTCTCTGTTTCTTATTTTACAACTCTATTTTCTGGTTTGCATTCCGATTGCATTGAAGACGTGTTTTCGATATAAAATAGTGTAATTACAATGACTAGCAATCAGGACGGTACAAAACTCTTTTAACGTAGTTTATTTTTGACTAGTGAATGGCGCTATGTTCTTTAGCAGATGCTACAAAATTAAATATTTCAACAATGGCATCAAAAATTATATTAAAATTATAGCATTAAAATTGTACCGGTGCATTTAATTTAACGGATTTTTTTTTTGGATAATTTCTTTTGTAGGACAGCGATTAGAACATATTGAGTTACATATAAGATTTTTGTGTGAGATAAGGAAACGTTGTGGTCTGAAAGAAGATGTAGTGACAAAAATTGAGAAAGGTATGCTGAAATTGTTTGGCCATGTCGAGAGAATGAATGAAGAACGATTGACGAAAAAAGTGTATAAGGCGAGTGTGAATGAAAGTGTTGGAAGGGGTAGACCATAGATAAGTAGACCTAGGCGGACATTTCTAGACCAAATCAGGGACGTCTTGAAAAAAGGCCAGGTCAAGAGTACCCTAGACCGTAGAGCATGTATGAAGGGAATAATGAAAGTGGACGAAGCGAAACAAGTATGTAAGGATCGTAGCAAGTGGAAAGAAGTGGTCTCTGCCTGTCCCTACGGGAAAGAGCCGTGATTATATGTATGTATAGGTATGTATTGTTGTGTGTGTTAATAACTCATACTCATCAAAGACCGATAGCCGATTTGTTTAATAGCTAGAGTTCTAACTACAGCGTTGAGAGTACCATTTGGCTTCGATTCTCGGTTGAAGTTGGGGGTTAAGGCAAACATTTGAGCAAAAATGTTTTCTTATGTGTTATTGTTCTCCCATATTAAGTTCGAACTACATAGCATCCGGAATCTCACAGACCCGGTAAAACCACCACAGCGTACATTGAGTGAACGCAAATTATGTTTTATTCACATTCACTGGTTACATCGTATACGCATGTGCCTTTGTGTTTGCAGCTAATATAATAAATACTGCGTAGTTGATAACATCTATGGCAACCAAAGACAATCAAACATTAAATAGAGTACTTATCTTATTTAAAAATAAGAGTGGAGAAAGCCTTACGTTTCTGTTTTACCCTCATCATCATCATTATTACAGCCCTTCACAAGTCCACTGCTGACCATAGGCCGCACCACAACAAATGACACAAAGCACGGCCCTGAGCTACATGTATCCATCCACTTCCTGCATGTCTTAGCAGTTGTTCACTCGATCTAATAGGGGCTGCCCTACACTTCGCCTACCGGTACTAGGCTGCCACTCTATACTGTATGACCGGCCCACTGAAACTTCAGCTTACTAATTCGTAATTTTAATTTTACCCTAATTATCAGTTGAGCTGTGGTGGGTGCTCGGTGTGCTAGTTTATCAAACTTAGTACTTATTATTTACAAACTTTGGTATGCTAAGGAATAAAAAAACAATAAAATATATATAAATAATAAATTTATTAAAAATTACATTATTTTGCAGATACGGTGAAACCATTTATAAAGTCAGTAAAACTATGGGCGAAGTTCCAAGGATGACACAAAGCAAGGCTGCGACTTCAATTTGTGAGCAATTGAACGCAATAGTGCCTCTAGAAAGGCTACCAGAAAGGCGTTCATGGCGGGATGCTTGCCTTACTCGTCTAGCGATGCTCAAAAGGGAAATGAAGAAGAAATATAAAAATTAAACTTCTGCTGCTGTATAAAAACATTATTCAATTAATCTTACATGTTATATTTTTGTAAAATTTTAATATAAATGTTTTTGCTTCTTATAAAGTTTATTTTTCTTTTAAAAATTTCAACTTTTGTTATATTTTTAATCCACTACTAGACTCTACCTGAAAGATTTGCCGCACACTAGTATTGTTGCTACCCGTTTCAAGTCTATGGCCCGTATTAATAATCGTTACTCAACGACGAACTCAAGTGCGTAATCACTTGATACGCCCTCATTGCGATATCAGCATCTCAATGTCGTAAAAACAGTATCTCAAAACGTTGTACTTAGGAATACTGTTCTGTGCCTTGCACACAAGTACACACTTGAGAGTCGAGTTTCGCTTATTAATCAGTGTGGCACTCAGCTGATATCGTAAACCTAAACCGCATCTTGCGATATGTTTATTAATAAGATCATAACCTCAAGATTGTACTGAAGTACGTGTACTTGAGCTGAGTAACGTTTATTAATATGGGCCTATGAATTTAAAGTAAAACTACAAATCTAAGAGATTTGATTTTCAGATGGATTTATCATAATATGTCGCATGGTCATGGTCATGGTCGCCAGGGTTTCGTTTTTTAGTCAGCCGTTTGATAGTAAGTAAGTGAGATCGGTAGGAAATTTAAGAAGTTGGCATTTTTAGGGTTCCGTAGATACACAACAAGGAAAGTTGTCTTCTGACGGTCATTTGGAGAAATAGATCCTGTCTCTGCGTAGTAACACGACATCTACTCATGTACCGTTCAGCCACATCCCCAGTACTGCGAGAACGTGACTACAACCTTGATATCACGTTTTGGCTGGTGTGTAGGGCCTCAGCAACGACGCGTTGAATAGCACCATTTTATAACATGTCCAAGGCTCGTAACATTTCATCTCGACTCAAATGACGACGTGAGATGTCTCTTAAAGCTCACACGGCACGTTAAATTAAAAAAGAAAAACAATCAATCCCATTTCATTAATTAATATCACTACCTACAACAATTTTAATTTTCCTTAACGTAACGAATTACTATAAAACAATCAATTTTGCCGCCGTATTTTGTTTTTCTTTTGTTTTTTTTTTATTTACATTTTTAAATTTTGAAAATAGAATCAAATCTGTATAGTAACTTTTTATGGTAACTAAAAAGATTTCAAACTATAAAATCGTAAATAACTCAGGATTAAGGTATCTCTAGATTCTGTTGATGTATACAAATGCTTTACTACTATAGATCTACTTCATTTGCAGGATAGGCAGGGAGGATCTTTCTTAGTTCCACTTATTTTTTAGTTTGTAGTTATTGTAGGCCTCATTTAAAGTATTCATAAAATCATATAGCCTCATACAGTTTCATACGTCACACTCTAGGTTTACGCGGGCGACCTCAGGATAATTTAGGGCAGTGTTAGTTTAAAGGCCAGGTCAAGAGTACCCTAAACCGTAGAGCATGTATGAAGGGAATAATGAAAGTGGACGAAGCAAAACAAGTATGTAAGGATCGTAGCAAGTGGAAAGAAGTGATCTCTGCCTACCCCTACGGGAAAGAGGCGTGATTATTATGTATGGTTTACGTGAAGGTTCGTTACGGTCATATATTTATATCTTAGATTTGCACTGCCGGGAATATTATATAGATAGATAGTCAACTATGATCATCTTTGTACTTACTTGGAATGTGAATGATTTGATGTAAATTGTATTACTTTCAAAATCAATAAGGTTTTCTTAAACTTTTTTAAATACCTCTCCCTATAAGTATGATTTGAAAATAAGTCCTTCAGTTACCATGTCCCTATTTGGGCCCATTTTTAGTCGTTGTAGCGGTCAGACCGCGAACTCGCTTATTATACTCATTATTAAGAAAGCCCACGTATTATGCCGGGCAACTACGGAACCCTACATCTGCATTGTGCGGGACCGACACGCACTTCTTTGAATCTACGGGGTGGCTATAAAGTTATCACATTAAATGAAAAGACTTATCCTATATTAGCTGTTCCCCGCGACTTCGCCCGCGTGTTATTTGGGTTTTTAATTTTTTTGCGCGGTACCCTAATAATTTTTCTAAAATAAAAGTAGCCTACGTTACTCTTTGTAATATCAGCTGCCAGCTGCCATCTGCCAGTGAAAATCCCGTCAAAATCGGTCCAGCCATTTCAGAGATTAGCCGGAACAAACAGACGGACAGACGGACAGACAGACAGACAGACAGAAAAAAACTTTGAAAATTGTATTTTTGTTATTAGTACCGTATATACTATCATATGCATTTAGTAAAAAGCTGTAATTTTGACATTACAAACAGACACTTAAATTTTATTTATTTGTATAGATAACGTTCTTTGAACATAAACAACTAAAAAAATATATAACAATTAACATTCTAGTCGCAATAGCCCTTTTTTCGTTTTTAGGGTTCCGTACCTCAAAAGGAAAAAACGGAACACTTATAGAATCACTTTGTTGTCCGTCTATCTGTCTGTCTGTCAAGACCCTTTTTCTCAGGAACGCGTGGACGTATCAAGCTGAAATTCATATGAAATACTCAAGTCTACTGTCCCTTGGAGCTGTGGAAAAATCAAACTTCTAAGCCTAAGCGAAAAGCATAAATTTTTAGTTACATCATATAACAAAAATATTTTTAATAATTTTAAACTTATATACCTACGGATTTGTTCGGAACCCTCGATGCACGAGTCCGACTCGCACTTGGCCGGTTTTTTGTTTAATTACTTATGAACGGGAAAGTGTATGCCGCGTGAGCACTGCGCACCTGCCGCACCGTTGCCGCTTTTACATGTCACTTGTAGTCAGTAAACTAATATTATCAAGGTGATTTATTTCATGTCAATTTTTACGCTATTTATTTTGTTTGAAAGATGCTTTTTTTATTATTTTCTAGAATTATTTATTTAATTAGTTTAATCGACTTGTATATGCCGCTGTGTTATTTAATGTGATAACCTAATCGCCACCCAGTATAACCGATCCTGAATCACTGGCACCATATGTCTATGTACGTCAGTAATGTATGTCACACTCGGCTGAGCAAATACACACATAAACGCACAATTAACTAAGAAACACGCACATACAAGCACACACACACACACACACACACATACACACACACACGCACACGCACGCACGCATGCACACACACATACGCGCGTACACACACACACGCGCGTGCGCATGCACATGCACACACTCACATTCTATTTATATTACTACGATATAAAAATTGTACTGTTTGTGCCACAGCCTGGCATAGCCATACTCAAACGTTTTAAGACTGCAGCACGAATCAGCATATTGCTGCTGTATTTCGTATAGTGAAAAAGGAGCCCCGGAGACCTATCTTACTCGTAAAGAGGCATTCCATCTTATTCCGCAAGATTTTTTGTTTGGCATCTGTCGGCGCGTCTATAAAATACCGGTTAAGAGAGTCAGCGAGAGGTTGCGTCACTCTAGCGGAGCGTCATATCGATGGTGGCAAGGTGGAATTGAGGGTACCTATATCGAGAAACCCCCACTCGTTTGTGCGGTATAAAGCGCCCTGCGCGAGCGATTCCGCTTGAGTCATTCTACGAGTGAAGTCATGCTACGCGTAACGGGAAACGTCAATGCCCACAAACGCAACAATTATTGCTTTAATTTTAAAGCGATAAAGTGAGTGGCTACACTTGAACGGTCAACGTCATTTCAATTTCAATGCCATTGAACGTCGTTAAAGTTGGCGTTAATGTTCCTTGAATTTCAAGCAAGACTGATGCTGACGCTGCTACTTTATATTTGATGAGTGTAAATTTTTATTACGTGAATATATTTTATCATCCCACAAACATGGCCCTGTTTGCAGAATCTCAAGAAACGTAATACTTTTTCATTATACCACTCCATCATAGCCATACGTGCGACCCCGTTGCGCTCACCGTGCACAACAAACACAACTTGGCAAACGGCATTGTTAATGCCGTTTGCCAATTTGTAAAATTAACGCGTTAAGTCCTTAAAAGATAATTAACGGCATTTCTCGTTACTCGTTAGTGTGGCAACATCAGTGCGCACCGTCTCGTCTTACGGCGGAGAAGAGCTCGCGACAAATTATAAAAATTACTTAAAATATTGTCACAACAATGATGACCAGTGGCGTAGCTACCCAGGGGCTAGGCGGGGCAGTGCCCCGGGACCCCCCCAGCTAAAGGGGCGCCTTGGTCTCCAAGAACGAAATTCGAAAAATTATGTGCTATAGTCGTATAAAGGATTTTCGAGTTTTAACTTTTTGGCCCCTGACCGCGAAAGGCTCGAATTGAAATCACAAAAATTACTCCCACTTCCAGAACATAAATAGAACATTGTTAAAGATAATTGTCTACTTCGTCTTATTGTCTTTTTTATATAGACGAGAATGCGGCTCACTTGATGGCAAGTGTCGACCACCGCCTATTATCATATTCAACCCCAGGGTAATTGCAGGCGCATTGCCGACTTTTTAAAAAGGAGTAAGCTCGTTTCTTGGAGCTCCCTAAGTCGTATCGGTCCGACAGTAGTGGACCGCTAAACATTCCAATGATGTGGATTTGTGAAATGCGTTGATGACATTTTGTGGCTGGAATTAATCCGAACAATTCCTCTGAACACTCCCCGTGGTAAATTCGATAGAAAATGCAAAGGGATTCAGCACCTCTTCGCAGTGCCAGTGAATCGAACCGATCAGAAAGAACTCGGTCGTCGACGATTCGAACCGCTCAGCGCCAAACTCAACGACAAATGGGTTCTTTTTCGTGGTAAACGCGCAAACTTGTGTCTTCTGGGCTTTGAACTTAATTAGATTTAGTCGCCCTAACCCGAGACCTTATCCGGCAAAGGCTCTACTTCAGACACAAGTTTGTTCCGGATCTCGAAGACGAATTGTCACTGACGATTTCCTGAGAAATATAGGCACAGCCGGTGTATAAAGCATCACCAGT